ATAGGTGGCGGATCATTTGGAAAAGTTTTTTCTGGATATTATGATAATCAAGATGTAGCATGGAAGACTTGTGATGCATATAAGGAGCAAAAGGGGATGAAAACGCTAAAACATGAAGCTCATATATATTCTATTTTGAAAGAATGTCAAGGTACAATTTTTTTTTCATTGATAATATTTTGGATAATATTAACTTGTCTATTATAATATTGATATTAGGTCGTGATATTCCACGTTTGTTCTACAGCGGTTACATTTATGACGGATATCTTTTCGCGTTAGCGTTACAATTAATTGAGGGCGCCCATCACGTTGATCCGGAAAGACTCACTAAAGAGGAAAAAATGTCAATAGTCAATCAGCTAAAGTCAATACATAATTGTGGTGTCCTACACAATGATATCTCAGAGAAAAATATTCTATATGAACCAAAGAGTCGCCGTTACTTTTTCATTGATTTTGGCTTGAGTGAGGTCGTGGGTAGTGAGTCGCCGAAATTGCGCCAGGAAGAAAGAAGATTAAAAAGATTTTTAAATACCACATTATCGCACTAGATGAAGAATAAATGAATTTTTATTATTGCAAGCTAGTATATATTAATTTCATTTTAAATCATGTTATTTCATTGCTTGATAAGCGAACACAAAACTTATAAAGCATACACATGTTAAAAATTCCAAGTGAAATCTTTATTATATTTTTTTCGTAAAGAAATAAATGAGAAAGGCCGTCCGGCAAAATAAAAAATGAAAGTAATAAAGTAAATAGAGTAGCAAGGGAGGAATTAGCCGAGCCCTAACCCATATAATGGCAGTTCCTACCCCACTACTCCGCATTATTATCTAGACTATCACTAATTTGTTTACTATCTACCCATCTCGTTGATGTTTGCGATTTCCGCGGTAATTTTATCGTTAATTTCAGTATTGATTCCACAGCTCATTAACTTTGAATTCACGTGCGGAGAGTTCATTGACAACCTTTTCTCCGGCATAGTACAAAAAGAAGCACATGCCATACACAGAGGAGCATTTTCGGGAAAAATCATTATAAGGAAGAAAAACAAAGATGTGGATAGAACCATAAAAGGAGTGTTATCCGAAACGTTGCAGAAAAAATGTTCGTTAGCATATATACATGTGTGAAAAATGTATCTTAACTCGCAGATTTGTCAAAGCGCCTATGTATTAGTAGTTAAATCATGTTTTTGATCCTCGGCCTTTTACTGGCAGGAGTTATCGATGCTGATCCGATCTTTTAACAACCCAACAATGATACCTATAACTTTTTCACACTGTTCCGTAGAATATCGAGGTTTTCTTTGATCGCAATCTTTGAAAGATTTATCTGGTGTTCACTATTACTTGTAGCATATATCCCTTCAGGTGAAATGCCACTCCATGGCTAAAAACAATCCAATGATTAGTGAAAAATCACATGAGTAAATTTTGTAAAATTGGAATTATTCCGAAGTGAGACTTTTGGTCCCAGGTTTGCCGATCACTTTACCAAGAAAAATTTTATACATGATCCCATATAGATAGTCAAAATATTCGTTCCCAAATGCTTGGTCCACCGTTCTTTTCTTTATATTGGTTTGGTATGCACTTTCAAGTTCCAGTAAATTTTGAGTATAGCCAATCCTGATATTTCGTGGTTTGGCTTTGGTAATACTGTACAAAGATCCTCGACACTTTTTATTGTGTAGTTGGCCTGTTGATTCTTCTCCAGAAATATCCTTTTGCAGAATAATAAAAATATCTTCAGTAGAGTGTTTTTTGACAATGGCAATTGATGTATGTAGAATGGTCAAAATAAATTCACAGTGTGTTGCTTCATTGGCATTTATTATGGTCATTATATTGATAATTTCAGGATTATATTATCTATGCAATGATTAAAAGCCTTATCATTATCATCTATTTCTTTGGAGACTAATGAGTAAATCAATTAAATATTGTATTATAAAATTTGTGATATAACCTGAAAAATATATATGAAATCACTTACCAGGAATAAACTGTTTTATATTTATAATATCTTTTTTTTTTTTTTTGCCTCTAATCAGACTGCAATCATTGTGTTTATTAATTTTTATACAAATAAAACAATAATACATTGAACCCTAAGGTTTTACACTAGAGCTAAACTGTGCCTATTGCAGAACACCTGTCAACAAGTTATTTTTAGATTTGTATATGATCCTTGAATTCTTAACATCAAGACCATCATGTCATCCACATAATTTAGCTATTTACTAACTATTTCACTACAAAAGTATTGGTTCATTAAGTTATTACTATGTGATATTAACTATCTTAGACTTTCAAATCTTAACTCTTTAAGTGTGATTATGAGAAATGATAAAATTACTCCTTTTTCAAGACTGCTCCTTGGCCTTAAGAAAAATTATAGCCAGCCTATATTCAAGCTATTACTCTTATATGAACCTGTGGTCTTAAGAGGTAAAAAAATTTTTATTTTTAAGAAAAAAAAAAAGAATAATAAAAAGAATAAATAAAGAGTTTGTTTTGGTAAATAAAAACACTTCAATATTAACTTCAGTCTATTGGGATAAATTCTTTACCATCACCTGCAGCTGGGCAAACCATTTAATTTCTACTATTCTCTTGCTGATCAAGAACATTCAAGTTACTTATTACAAGACTGATATACTGCTTGAAATAAGACTTACACCCATTGGAAATTATTGCTTAAGACAAGTCTTACATTAATGTTTGCTATCTTTTTGAAATAATTAACAATAGAAGAAGCTTCTTATTAAGTTGAGATGAGACTTCTTTTGATCTTGAAAAGAAAAGAAACCAGTTCAAGAGGAGAGAAAGAAACACTATAATGCTTCTTAACAAAAAGAACATCTTATTGCCTTGTTCTTTTCACTATATCCAATTACATTATTGGGTTTTGTATTATATGAGATGGGGCATGTGAAAGTTACATGTCTTGTTTATATTTCTTGCTATGTGTAAATTAACCAGTCCAAAATTTGAGCCAATTACCATTCAAGAATTCCAGTGTAACCAAAAAAAGTTCCAAAAACTATGTCAGTCTTTTCTAAAGTCTTGAATTTCTGAAGAAAAAATAGAAAGTGTTTTTTTTATAGGTTTTTTTTCCTAACAAAGTTTTCTTGTCTTTTTTTTTTTTAACCATTAAGGCAAGACAATACTCTAGTTTTATTAATATAAATAGTTTATTACATATGTGCTATGTCTAAATTTATACTATATTAATTGCATATTAACTAGAACTTATTCACAAGCCTAAACTATCTGGGTATAATCTGCCACCCTGTTTGCTTACATATGCATTACCTATTTCATTTCTTTGTTTGACACTAATTTTATTTCTATCTATAATTACTATCTTCTTATTTAGTTATCCAAGAATGGCCAAGGATTTCTTGCTTTTTTGGTTTGCTTTTCTGGAATAAGTAACTAGCAAGCTGATATATTACTGAATTGAAGTGGGCTTTTCATAGAAGGATACTTTTCATATCTATAGGAAAATGATTATTAATTCTTTTTTGTTTTTTTCACATTAGAACTGGTAACCTTGCACTTCTTTTTGCTGCTTTCAGTAATCATCATATCACCAACCAAATGATTATCGCATCACAACATTTTTTTTAATAGTTACAATCTTATTGTTTGCAGGATCTGCATGTGAATCAGCTTGTATTGAGAAACGACACTTCACAGGTTATGGTACCAGATACCATATTTATTCTATTCAACTGCCTTTATCTGAAGTTGAACTGGTATCTTGTGATCTGACCTATGGAGTAATGTTACAAATTATTAGTTGGAAAGTTTAAAATTAGCCAATCAGAATTCAGGATTTTTAATTGCAACTAGTTGATTATATTAAAAACAATTAATCAATTAGAAAAATTTTTGCCAACTAAGATTACTACTGTAAAGTACTAACTACTGTGCTATAGAGTATATATATTGCTAAAATTTGTAGATTCTTGATACAATTGACACAATTAATTGAGTCACTATTAAAACATATAAATAATTAAGTCATAATGCAATTATTTTTGAGGATTTTGGG